GAAAGTTTTATATATGCCTGGAGTAGAATGGACTTTTTAATTTATGCTCTGGTATTTAAAGTCACAAACAGTTGTGTCTAGTTTCTCAGATAGGAATCATTTTCAGTAGTATTATGTATATGAAGAAATACATCACAATACACACATATAAACATACACATACATTTGGAAATCTATGAATAACATATTTTTCCAGTCGTATATCATGGTGATGCTACTGAGCCAGGAGGCCATGTGCTATGAGTTGTTTTTCCAGTAGTGTTGATAGATTGTACTGAGTCATCCTCCAGATCTTGTGTGAATTACCTTGTGACCAATAGCATGCATTGTGTAGTGATTGGCTGGGATTAGGAGTGCACTATGAAAGGTTGTTTTTTTTTTTTGTCTTTCCCCACCCCATTGTGTGAAGCTAACTGGCCCATATGGGGATTGAATATGAGACTTTGGCCTCATTACTTCCATGCTTTAGCCAACTGGGCTATATATAGTGTATGTTCTAGAAATGTACACATATCCTGACTTCCATTCTTGTGTTTTATTTTGAAAAGATGTGAAAAACTCCTGATTAGTAATTCAGAACTTAAATATCTTCACAGCCAAGTTCTCTGCTGTTTTAATTTGGGAGGGTCTTGTTTGGTAGTTTCTTTGTTTTGTTTTGACAGGATGGAGCAGGGTAGCCTGCTAAATGCTGGCTAAGACGATGGCATACAAAGGTTTCAAATTGATTCAAGTGCTGAGAACAGCAAAATGTTTTCATTATTTAAATAACCACATGCTGCCAAATGAATCATAAAGGGAGCAGCATGTCCTGTGCCAAGGTGCCACTTTCATTAAGTGAGAGATTGCACCTGAAGGACAGTTTAATTTGCAGCTGCGGAAAATATTTGAACAAAGTGGTACTGTTACAAGTGGCAGGTGTTGCACCAAAGTACATTTTTTCAAGGATGCCAACTCTGGGATGAAAAGCAGCATAATATCATGAAGGGGAAAAGGAATTGGGGTGGGGGAGCACATATTTACTATTATTATCATGAATAAAGATTGCATATTTTATTTCATGTGATAGCACTGGTTACAAGATTGTTCAGTGTGATTATTTGTTCAACTCCTTAGGTCTACTGAGAAATATGCAATACAGGAAAAGACAGAGGTTCTTTCCCTAGAGGATCACTATCAAAGCTAGACAGATCAGAGAAAGGGTTCCAATTGTATTTACCTTTCAGAGTGTTTACACTATGGTTTCATGCTGGAGAGATTAATGTACTTTGATCTTGCTTAAATGGATTTTGCCAGTTTCTTTTGAAGTGCAGTTTTTCCAATGTCCTTTCACATTAACTTCCTGATTCAAATCACAAGGAATTTTTACAAATGGTAGAAATTTCAAGTTTTTGTGAAGCCATTGTCATCAAGGATTAAGAAAAAAAAATTCCAAGGGGGAGGGAATAAAATTTCATTGTGGAAAGGAACATGGTAAATACGGGTGCTATAACTGTTTACCTTATTAAAAGATCTGAGCATTTGTGTCATTATTTTGGATGGGTTTGGCCATGTTGAAACCAGCAATTTGTATCTGGAGACTGAAAGTAGCCATGTCCTTCTTTAATGGACTGCAGAGCAGTGAAGTTTAATTTGAAAAAAAAATGCCTGTTTAGATTTTCATTTCTGTTTCCCATTCAGTGGGAGTAGCTTCTGCAATATCATGTACTTTCCTAGGAATCTGAGCTCAACTCATAAAGTAGACCCAGCCCCAAGTAAGTTTTTATGAAGTTTTCCATGAGGAGTTATAGGCAAGGCAAGTTACTAAACTGGCTAAGGTTTTTCAAAATGATGGTAATGCTTGACCACTAGTGTTAATATTGTTTTTCAGCCTCTAAAGGAAGGGATTGACTTTTCTTTCTCAATATGCTTAATATTGTTGTTCAGGTCTAATTTTGAAAACTAGCTATTGATTGATTAACTTTAATGAGTTGGATAGTTACATATCTCCATATAGTTAAGGAAAATCAGGGTTAAAAAAAAACTAGTACCTGTTTGCAATTAATAACAGGAAGAAAGAATATAACTGAAGAGTAGCTTGTTAATTCTTTCAAATGATAATTTCCATACAATTGTACATCTAGAGAAAGAAATCTATAAATTTATTTTAGGTAAATGGCACCCTGGAGACATATTTAGCAAAATAAGATTTTTTTTGAAGATGGGTAAAGGTGATAACTAGAGAGGAAGGATGTAGAAGAGAACTGAAAAACCAAACTGATATATAATAAAATGGTCAAATTGAAAGAGAAATGATTATTCTTTGTGGGGAAGGGGGAAGATGAAAGACATTAAGATAACTTTACCTTAAGCTTGCTAGAAATGAATAGCAACAAAGATGCATGTAAATATACATGTTGCATGGAGAAGCTTTTATTAGAAATAGACTTTGTATCATATTATGGAAATAATAAGAACAATATTTTATAAGCCTTCCTGTAAAAAAATTCAGAGCTGTCGACTCCTACTTGGAAATTGTTCCTGATCAATGCTCAAGATACTGTGTGATAGTAGTATATTCCACTTTGCATAGATAAAACTCAGAGTATATTGTGCTACTTATTCAAGCTGAGTCAAAGAATATAAAATCCATTCATATTCTTGTATGATTTAAAGGGGGAGGAAGGGTAGAGTGGCAGGGTAGAGCACTATATGTTATGCTAAGGACTAAAATACATATCCAAAATCATGGAATTTCAGAAGTTGTCTGTTCCAACTCTACCTGAATAAGAGGCCCCTTGACATTTCTTACAAAGCTGACAAATGGTCAACTGGTTTTTTTTTATGTTGGAATACCTCCAATGATGGGGAACTCACTGACTCCCAAAGCAACTTATCCTACATTTGGACAGCAGATTGTTAGGAAGTTTTTTCTTACATTGAGCCAAAATCAGCCCCCTGACCAGTTCCTACCCATTGCTCTTACTTCTTCCCTTTGGTGCCAAGAAAAATATGTTGAATTCCTCTTACATTCAAGCCTTTCAAATACTTAGAAACAACAGCCATGACTCCCCTAAATCTTTTCTTCTCTAGGCTAAACAATCCAGTCCCAAAAAACAATCCTTCTATGGCATGCATGTTTCAAAAATAATTGCCATTTAAAACCAAAGAACACATACTCACGGTGATTATTCACAAGGATCAAGATGGAAGAAATTATATGAAGGGTATTTAATGTAGTTCTGGGGTTAGGATGTCTTTCACAGGAATAAAGGAGGAATAGCTTCAGATATGGCTGCTTTTTCCAAGTCTGTTTTGATAGAAAAAGAGACCATAGCAACAAAGTATAATGAACTTAATATTTATATGATACCTTCTATATCACGTCATATTTTTAAAATGTATTATGATTTCCAGGATTTTACATTTTAAAATCATGAGGAAATTAAAATAACATAAAACAACAGTGTGTAGTCACAAGCAATTGGATTTTATATGGATATTGTATCATATAATGGAAGTAATAAGAACAATTATTCTGTAAGCCTCTAAAATTTTTTTTTTTCCACATGGGCTCCCACTTCAAATTATTCTGGGTCGATCCTCAACATACTATGTTATAGTAGTATACTCCATTTTGCCTAGATAAAACTTGGAGTTATGTTGTGTAACTTATTCAACTTGACCCAATTATTATAAAATCCATTTGTATTCCTGGATGATTAAATAGGGGAAAGGGTACAGAGTGGACTACTATACACTATGCTAAGTACTAAAATACCTATCAAAGAATCATGGATTCTCAGAAGTTGTCTATTTTAACCCTCCTTGAACAAAAGGCTTCTCTACATTTGCTTCCATTTTTTTTTCAAGGTGCCCCTTGCAATGCTGGGCAATGATTTTGTGTAGACTAAGACCTCTCTCTGAAAGAAAAGTCCCATTATTTCATGTTTTATGAATCCCCTTTTATTGCCCTATCCTTCCCTGACCATTCCTCCACCTTCTTGCCTCAGTTATGTTAGAAATTAGGATAACTCAGATGAAAGTATGAGTAAAATATCTACTAAAGATGTTTGAAAAGTGTTTTTATGTTCAGAATAAGGAGTGGAGCTATCACTCTGTAGAGAAGGGCTACTACACCTATGCCTCCCTTTCTCAAAACAGTAAAAATAATAATTTGTTCTCATATACTGTTTCATAACATCCTCAAATATATGATCTCATATGATTAGCATTAACACTTTCATCTTATAGTAATGATTAGGAATGATTCCTGATTGGGGCATCAATATGAGAGTCTGGACATTTTATTAGCTAGGTGTACCTCATGAAACTCAGCAAGGCAGCTATTAATTGTTCAACAAGCATTTACTGATTGCTTACTATGAGTCAGGCATTTTTACAGTTGCTGGAAACACAAAAACAAGTAAAACAGTATCTGCCCTGAAGGAATTTATATTCTATAGCTTGTATACCAGAAAAAAAAATCTTAATAACCCCGCATACATATAAGTATATGCAAAATAAATGTGATTTATAGATAGTACAATCGTTTACCCTCATTGAAAGAATGACAAATGGAAACTGAAAGATAATGATAAATGACTTATCCAAGGTTCTACATACAGTTACAGATTTTAACCCAGGCTTTTTGACCCTTGACCAGTACTCTTCCCTGTATCATCTAGAATTACCTTGATATAAGATTATGGCTTCATTTTCATACTTTCTCTTTTGATATGGATTTTGGAGAAATCAAGAGAACAATTCTGAGTCTGCTAATCATGGTATCACATTCCTGCCAGAGGTCTGTGATATGGCAAATGGAGTTTTATGTCAGGCATTGAAATGCCTGTAGGAAAGGAATAAATAAAAAAACATTGGAAGTGAAGGAAAAGGGGTAAGATTCATTTGCAGTAGGGGATCTGATAGAATAGTGAAGAAGAAATTGTAATGTACCAAATTGTGTACTTTTTGTATTAATGTGATGTGAATCAATGTAAGTACTCCATTTTGTCTCTCAGATCCAAGATTCATTAGTGTCCACCTCATCCCAGAGAGTGACAATCCAGAAGATGACAAAGTCTATTTTTTCTTCCGTGAAAATGCAATAGATGGAGAGCACTCTGGGAAAGCCACCCATGCTAGAATAGGTCAAATATGTAAGGTAAGGAAAAAATGCAATGGGATGGGTTTTTGCCGTAAATATTTCTTTTTCTTTTCTTTTGCAATTTGTGTAAGTATATCCTCTGTTTAAATCCTATGATGATGGCATGTAGGTTATCTTAGGTATCATAGGCTATGCCAGTGGAAATTAAAATATTAGAAGCGAAGGAAGGAAGCGAAGAAATATTGCCAAATTGGCAATCTTTGAGTATGGGCCCAGAAAAATTCAGTATGCATACTTGTCCTATGAGGAAAAGCAGCCAGATTTTGAGATGTTTATAACTGGAAGGTTGCCTCCCAGGTGATGAATTTTTTTCAGTTGTAACCAAAAAGATAAAGGCCAAATACTTGATACGTAACTTAGGGGATTTATCGTTTGCATCGCTGAACAAAGTACTCTCACTAATGAAATCATTGATACTTAAAGTATTTTTTAAAAAGTGAATAGGAAGCAATTAATTCATAATGAAAAATGATGATAGAACTCATATTATTAATTAAACTTGGCTTGGAAAATAATCCAAATATGCTTTTTAAGTGCATATGATGATAGTAACCAATTTTATATGTTTTATGGCTTATTAAAAAAAAACACTTTCCTCAAAACAACCCTATGATGTAGGTAATATAAGTATAAATGATAAATTCCTCCTTCTGTTAATGGGGGAAATACGGTTCAGAAAGGTTAGTCAATTTGGCTATAGTGTCCCAGCTGGTAAGTAGCAAAGCCAAAAAAAAAATCCTTATGAAATTGAACTTCCTGTCTTCTGCACTTCTCCATGCATCTTCTCTAGCTAAAGCTCAATAGTGTGATAAAATTAATATTTGTCTGCATTATTTCCAAAATTATCTTACCTGGTCAAATATTTCATAAAAATATTTTTTTCCTTCCTGTCCTAGTTTGAGAGAATGTATATAGAAACAGTGGCTCCTACATCTCTATATCCCCAATGCCTTCTGATACAAGCAAACTTTACTAAAATGTTAAAACAAGAAAGAAACATATAAAGATCATCTGAGCCATCTCCCTCAGGAGAAACTGAGTCCCAGGGAGGTTAAGTGGTAGAAGTCAGAGTAGGTCTCCAGGCTCTACGTCCATTTGTTTATAGGAGTGCTTTTGTACTTGGGAAAATTACTGATGCAAAGACCTTTTTTTTCCCCCTTCGAAAAAACAGGCATCCTTCCAAAGAAACTCTATCAGTTTAATTAAGAAATAAATTTATAAAAATCAATTCTTCAATGTGAATCCTTTCTGTGGCCAACTAAGAGTTTTTGTAGGAAACTAGTAAGTATATCCTTTCCAAATTCTGAGAGATAGGCACAATTAAAAATTTAAATGGAAGGAATCCTATTCCTGTAATACTCCAGATTAATATTTCTTTATAAACATTTTGAAAATAAAATGTTCATTTGCACAGCATGTATGCCTTTTATAAAACTATATATCAATAAAGTGATGCTAAGGTACATATTTTCCTAATCAGAGCACCCAATTTTCAAAATTAAATATTTCCCACATCCACTATATTTTTGCAAACATTATTTTCATAGAAATATTCTTTCTTTCTTGGTTTAAGTCATGGTCAATAAATACTTTTAAAATAGAAAAAAAAATTACTGGAATTTGGACTTTACTAAAAGTTCCGTCACAAAAACAATTTCAAACTGTTTCCCTGGAACATATCTAATGAATTAAAAAAAAAAAAAGATATTGTATATACTGTTAAACAATGTATTGGTTGGTTTTGCTGAATTGCTTTTTTCTTTTTCCTTTTTTTTATTCTTTGTCATATAGGGAGATTATGTAGGTATACTCAGTATATAGGGAGAGTAAAGTGTGTGAGAGAGATGTATGTGTTCTAGCATGGAAAATAAACAAAATATTACATTACTATTCAGGGTCTTCTTACAATTAAGCCTCTTTTATTTTTTTTTAATAATTACTTCCCTACATGCAGTTTGGGAAATTTGTTTGACCAGTACTATAATATGATTGTATTTTGAAGAAATTTTTTTCATAATGAGATCATCTTATTTTAATTATAAAACTGCATCTGTAGAACCTAATCATATGATGAAGGAATGGATTGTGTTAATCCCGAAAGCTGAATCTGTAGTTACTTTAAATAATATATAGTGCTTTGAAAAATGTGAAATTGTTAATACATATCTGATTTTTACCTTAATTTCCAAAATAGGATAAATCATCTTCAGTTATCTTTATTTACCTGCTTAATCCTTATGTCATATAGAAATACTATGTTAGCTCTACTCATCTCCTTTCAGAATGACTTTGGTGGACACAGAAGCCTTGTTAATAAATGGACAACTTTCCTTAAGGCTCGGCTTATTTGTTCAGTGCCAGGGCCTAATGGCATTGACACTCACTTTGATGAATTACGTAAGTAGCTTATGTCATTCTAAACATATTTTTTCAGACTCTCCCAAGACTATAAACTGACATTATTTTTTCTTACTCTCTTTTCATATAGAAGATGTATTCTTAATGAATTCCAAAGATCCTAAAAATCCAATAGTCTACGGAGTATTTACAACTTCCAGGTACTAAGATTACTATATTATTTTCATGCAAACTTTACATTATGAGGCACTTTCTGACTGCCCATGACCTGTTGACCATGTCTATGTTTTCCTGACCTTTGAGCTGTAGTGCCTCTATAGTTGAGGGAAATAAGAAACTAAGTATTTTATACACATGTATGAGTGCATGCAGATTATATTATACACATTCAAGTAAGGACCCTACATTGCTGCTGCAAATAAAATGTCTGGTTTAAAAGGCTTCAACGTACCTAGCCCATGGATCTTCTTATAGCTTTGGTTTCAAAAAATAGTGAGATCAACTATAAATATGAAAACCTGTATTTTTAGCAAATGCTGATAATGCTATTACAAAATAAGGATGAAATCTCCAAGTAGTTTATACTGAATTCATTACATCTGAGGAAGATAATATAGATATCTAATCTATTTTCTCTGTTGATAAAAAAAAAATTAACCTGGGGTGAGGAACAAAGCCCACCAAAAACTCCCAGGGCAGCTGAAAGCCACTGTGCTTTCAGAAATAGGATGTTACTGCCTTCTCCATCATTACTTCCCACTTTGTGGAAACCTCAAATTAAAAAAAAAATAAAGTTATTGTAAGGCTTAAAACATACAATAATTTAGCATTTAATAATTTGTAAATATGTACTAAAATATAGTATATAATATGTCCATAAATTGTGGTTTTGCCTCATGTTTTCTACTGGAAAGATATCATAGTTTAGTAGACAAAAAATGTGAGATTCTATTTGAATTTTATTTTCTCTGTTTTCTCACTACTCATTCACTCTTCAACTCCCTATAATATGGCTTCTGTCCTCATCACTTCAGTTAAACTACTTTCTTAAGCATCCCAATTTATTTATTAATGGATAAACCTGGAGACTTGCCTAAGTTCTCATCTTTCTTAGCCATTCTGCTGCCATTTGTGTGTCTTGATTTGACTTTATTTGACATCCTTCTTTATGCTCTCTCTTGCCTTAATTTCTGTGACATTACTCACTAATGGTTCTCACCAGCTATTAGCATAGCTTTTCAGTTTCCTTCATTTGGCTCATCTTTCTCTTTCTCATCCCTAGGGATGGATATCTTCCAAAGCTATCTTCTGTCTTCTCTTCTCTCCACGCTATCTCCTTTGGAGATTTCATTTACTCCCACTGCTTTAATTTTCACTTATGTGGAAATTATTCTCCATATGACATATCCATTCTTCATCTTGTCTTAAACTCCAGTATTTCATATCCAACACCCTACTGGACATGTCTACCTGGATGCTCTGTTAGCACTTCCAACATAATCTATCCAATATTCAACTCATCATTTTCACTCCTAAAACTGTTACTCCTCTCTTCCTCCTACCTCTCCTGTTACTATTGATGGTACCATAGCTTCTCAGTCTTCCCAGCTTAAAAATTTGGAATCTTCTTTGGTTTTTCCTTCTCTCTTACTTCCAACATCAGTCAGCTGCAATATTGTGGAGATTCTACATTCACTCCTCCCTTTCTAATACTCAAACTGCCATTACCCTTTTCTTCTTTCATATTTTCCCATCTGGTACCTTTGCCTCCTGTCTCTCCCTCTTCGAATCCATCATTCACAAAGCTGCCAAATTATTATTTCTGAAACACAAGTCTAGTGAGGTCATTCTCTCATTCAAAAACATTTCAGTGATTTCCTATTGCCTGTATAATATAAACTTCCTAAACTGTCATTATAGTCCTCCACAATACTGCCTTTCATACACTGTACTTTCCAAACAAGTTCTTCAATCTTTACTGTACTACTTTTTTTTAAATTAATACAGGCTATTCTAATATAACTTAGCCTGCTGACATCCTTTTCATTCACTGAGGCTTTGCTCAGGCTTTATTCATAGGATTTTGAGCTGGCAGGACATTGGAAGCCATCTAATCCAAACACCTCATTTCATAGGGGAGGAAACTGAGGTTCTAAGAGGTTCAATTAATTTCCCAAGGTCACAAAAGTAGCAGAGCAAGAATTCAAACTCAAGTCTTATGATTCCAAATCTTGTCTTTTCCACTGTACCTTGTTGCCTCCCACATATGTAGCCTTCCCTGATGTTTATATATGTATGTATAGGTATGTGTACATACATGTATATATATATATATGTACATGTGTATGTGTATTCCCCCTGATTTTCAGCTTTTTGAAGGCAAGAACCAGATTGGTTTTCTCTGTCTAGTCTCTAGCATAGTGCTTTGCATGTAAGAGTTACATAATAATAATTCTTTGTTAAATAGAAGCAGTTAGAATAAATTTCTCCTACAGCCTAATTGACTATGTTTGTAAAAAGAGTCACTGAGGCATTTATACCTAATGAGTAAGTGGAGACACAGAAATAGGCATGCTACTCATGTGTCATCTCAATTAACAAGCAGCAGTGACTCAGAACCACCAAAACCTTCAGTCATGCTTAGTTCAATCTATACACATAGAAGCTAAGTAGCTCTATAAAAGTCATTTTTTACTCCTTCATGTTTCTTTCTTCTAAAAGAGAAATGAGTATATTATAAAACAATAAATATAAACCCACAATGGCACTACCTAGGTATTAAATAATGAAATAATAGTTATTGTTACACTAAATTTTAGGTTACTATAAACTATTAAGGTTTAGTTGTTATATTTTCTACACATGCATGCATTTTTTGGACAGTTTCCAAAACTTAAGAGTATATGTCTTTCATGATGATATCATTTTTGTACAAATTTTCTACAGAAAAGGGTTTGGTTGAGAGAGAAACATGCATTCCTTTTTTTTTTTTTAAAGTATTCACCTATATTATAACATTACTCATGCATAAAATTAAAATTGATTTATTATGTTGTAGCTGCATAAATAAAGGAAAAATGAAGAATTAAGACAAGTCAATGGGGAACTGAGACAAATTGAGTCAAATATCCCACTTTTATCTCAGTCACTTGGAAATAATAGTTCCTAGATTTTTATAGTAGTAATGGCTGTAGAGATCATCTTGTTTAACCTTCGTGTTTAAAAGATTCTCAAAGAGGTAATGTAATGAGCAGCTGTTTTCAGATTCGTACACAGTACATTGCAAATTCTGGAAGAAGGCTTTGAGCCTCTGCTGTCCTCAGAACAGTCTAGCTCAGGGGTGGGGAAACTATGGCCTCGAAGCCACATGTGGCCCTCTGGGTGCTCAAGTGTGGCCCTTTGACTAAATCCAAACTTCACAGAACATTAGTTTGGATTCAGTCAAAGGCCCATACTTGAGGTCCTAGAGGACCACATGTGGCCTCGAGGTCATAGTTTCCCTATGGCTGGAATATGAAAAAGTTCATCTCAGCATGATGGGCACTAAGAAATGATGAATTATATGACCACAGCATCCCAAGTAACAAAGAGAAATACAAAATTGCCATTGGCCCTAGGTGGCCATCTTCCACTCCAATCATTCAAACAGTGAATTAATCAACAAGTGGTCACACTTGCAGAAAAGGGGCAAGGGGTGCTAAGAGTCACACAGATTTTTTTTTCAACCATCTAGAAGCATTAATTTAACTTTTCATAAAAGCAAGAACCTTGTCCAATGACCAATAAACAATATATTACTGGAGGAACTGAACCATATCAATATTAACATTCTCACTAGAAATGAAACCAGAAGATATTAAGAAGTTGCAGTTAAATGGAAGGATGGCTCCAAGGAAGATTCTCCTTGGAGAGAGAGATAAAGGAATTGGCAGAGTTGGTTACATCATGCGACCAAAGACAGCAAGAAGCATAATTTCTTAGGACATTTGGTCAACTTTTTTTATGGTCCCCATGATGAGAAAAAGCAAAAGGAATGCTATGAAGATTATTGTATCTTATACACCATCTATTGCAGAGGACAAAGTAGATAAATTATATGGAGAACTTGTCAAGAACTTTCAAACTATTAAACATATCCATTAATACTTGATGACTTCAGTGTGGAGTTGGACATACAAGAGGATGGTGAAAAAAAAGTTGGAAAATATGGTTCAGAATTCAGACATAAAAGGCCAATGGCTCATAAACAACCTAGAACCCTTCCTTCCACTTGTATATTATGATTATTTTTTTATCCAGAAAAGAGTTGGAAGGCACTGGACATGGTGAGCACTATTTTCTTTTAAATATGTGATTTCATTGGTATGGGGAACTCCCAGTATGAAAACTCCTTTTCACTGATTTACATCAGCAACTTGTCAATGACTCATAGTCTTAGAGATTTGCCTGGAAACACTGAGACCTATTGGTCACACAGATAGTATGTGAGAGATGCAGGAATTGATCTTGAGTCTTTCTGACTCAAAGGCCGGCCTTCTCTTAATGTATACCACAATACCTTTCAAATATTAGACATGGTAAGCACTGAATCACAGGAAAATGAAATTGACTATATCATAAAAATTAAGATACAACTAGTTATCAAATAGGGGAAATCACTTCTGCCTCAGCTATCTGTGTGTAGATAATTGATGCTTACAGAAAAGATCAAAGTCAACACCAAACTGGAAGAAAGGATAAAGTTGAAAAGAAGGCAATTAAAACAGCTCTAAACTGAACCATTCAAAATAAACTATTGAAAACAAGATGGCAAACTGATAAAAAGAGATGTTGATGCTTATTATTAGCATTTTCTATATAAGTTTAAATAACTGATGTAATCACCACAGGTAGAAAGTTTAAAGGGCCCAGAAACTGTCACAAACTACAGTTTGATCTTCACAAACAAGAAACCATGGTGGCCAAAAACAAAACTGATTTAGAATATAAAATAATTTGCTAAATGTTAAAGAGGGAGGATGTTGGGAGATTACAAGCAATATTACCTCATAATGTGACTGCAGAAATGTGGGAGTGATAACCAACTGAGACACACAATTCCCAAAGCACATCATTTATAGATGAAATTGGAAGGGAATCACCACTAAGATGAAAAATGGAATAAATCTGCCATTGTTTTCATAGCAACATATCTTTAGTATCTATGACAGGGGAGCATTATATTTAAGTCTACTCTCTTGGTCCCCAAAGTACTACATGTGAAAGTGGATAAGATAACTTTATGAAATGAATTTGGGAAGAACAGTTAAAACGGACCAAGTACTTATGAGTTCCTTCTTGAAGTTGGAAAAATGTTGAATGCGCCTGAGGGTTTGATTTTTTGAGACATTTGAATGATGGAGAAACAAAGTATAAATTTGGGAAGGGAGAAGGAATCAAACTTTTAAAACTATTAGACAAAATTTTATAAATATAAACTAATTTTCTGTGTTCTTAGATAATCATGAAATTATTGAATCTTGAATTTGCATAGGAAATATAGGTCATTTAGACCAATCCCTACCTAAATCACAATTCCAGTCAAAGTTTTTCTTAGTCTATCACCAGGCATGGCATAATATTCTGCCCACAGGACAGTAAAATTGAAGACTGAGGGACTAGGGTCACTCAGAACTACTTCCTGACCAAATCCAGTTCTCTTTTCAAAAGATTCCTTATTCTTCAGCTATCTTAAATATTGTATGCCTTTAAAGACTTATAACTCTTTAAAATATATAATTCCCTTATCTTCCATGAGTATATGCTCTCCTGATTATCTAATCTACACCATCCATCCTAACTACTCACCCCCATTCTAGCTTCAAATCTATATTGGCCTAAGGACATCAGTATTTGGATGTCCCCAAATCCTAAAATATCAAATTACCTACATTATCCAGTCATTCTTTCTAAGTTTTCCCATCACCAACAATATTAATAAATAATACTTTACATATATGGAGTGCTAACCTTTTAGTAGTATAATGTCCTTGTCATTAGAAGGACGATATTTGTACTACTTAACTTATAGACTTACACTGAGGTATTTTTGGAAATGTAAAACACAATTTAATTGCTCACAAATAATATAATAATGTTTGTGAAAAATCTTTGGTGTCAGCTCCACCCTAAATAGTTAGGCAGAGATATTTATAATTTATGGTAAGAGATCACCATATTTAAAGACTATAATCTGGTGATCCCTTATCATAAATTATGAATTTGCTATGTGATGAAGTAAATATGGAAGTCAAGGAAATCGAGTTGGGAAAAGCACTTAGACTGGACCAAGTGAGATAATTTAAAGTGTATTGAGAAATTGATTTTCAAGATATTTGATATATGGGGGATTACCTTGTTAATGGAACAAATCACACTTTTTTTTCTACACAGCAAAAATAGTATAAGCATATACATAGGGCAGCTAAGTAGTGCATAGAGTGCCAGGCCAGAAGTCAGGAAGTTTCATCTTTCTGACTTCAAATCTGGCCTCAAACACCTATTAGGTGTGTGACACTGGGCAAGTCACTTAACCCTGTTTGCCTCAGTTCCTCATCTGTAAAATGAATAGGAGAAGGAAATGACAAGTCACTCCAGCATCTTTGCCAATAAAATCCCAAATGAGGTCATGAAGAGTTGGACACACCTGAAACAACTAAACATGAACGCACCCAGAAACTCTATGAGACATGTAGTACAACTGTTTCCAATTTACAGATGAGAAAACTGAAGCTCAGCTACCTCAAGTGAAGAGTGTCAGAGGGAATTTAAAATCAGATCTCCTGATTTCAGATCTAATACTATTTTCACTATACCACGTTGCCTCATTGACACCACCACTGTTATACAAATCTATGAAATGACATCTCCAAACTCCTATTTAGTGGGTTGTTTCTAGGGTAAATGTAGTAAAAGGGTTATGTCACTTTTAGAAAGAGAGTTGACTAGAGTTAAAATATACCATTCCAATTTTTTAACCATTCTAAGAATTACCTCTGAGGATAGCTATCAAGGGTGGAAGTAATACTGAAGATTTTCCACAATCATCATTATAATACTAATTGTGAGCATTTACATAGTACTTTATATTAAAAAAAATTCTTACCACAGAATAAGCCTATAATGTAGGTATTATACTGCATCGTTACCCTCATTTTAAGGACAAAGGAAGCAAGACTCAAAAGTGATGATTCACCCTACATCCCATAATTGCATACCTAGAACATGAATCTAGTTGTCCTGACTCCAAGGCCATGGATCTTCCACTAAAGCATGCTACCTAGTTCAATAAACCAATACAGATTTATTAGTTATATGTCTTCATATGATGATACATATGTACATATAGAATTAGAAAACTAAAGATTATTTAAAACTTTCCCAAGAAACAATCAAATCATTTGTACAGCATCATTTGGGGAACTACTTTCTTTGGGAGTGACCCTAGAAGGTTGTGAAAATAGCATTCACCATAAACTATTTTTTTCTATATTTCTTTACAAACATAAACTATAGTTTTCCCTGGATTATCTTAGCTTTATCCTAGTTCTGGTGCCCACATTCCTGGAATGCTAATTCAAAGTGCCTGTGCGTGTGTGTGTGTGTGTGTGTGTGTGTGTGTGAAATTTTTCTTTTCTTCTAATAGAAATGAAATATTTTCAGCAGATGTGCATTGTAATTTTAATATCACATTTTTATTGTATCAAGAATAAGTTGATTAAAATATTTAATTACTAAATACCTGAGTTGGTTACCTATTTATGTTCTATTCAATAAGAAACTTATCAACTGTTTATTGTAGAATAGTTTCATGTATTAGGCTCATATGAATGTATTCTCTAAGGATAAGTTCGTATATGCTGAGGCTGCATTTCTGAGTTCTGAAAATCAATAGCCATAATATATTAGAATGCAAAATGACGTTATCCACATGGTTCTTTTGTAATTAAATTGATAGATTGTTTGAAGAAATGGACTTTCTTTTTACCTTTTAGTAACATCTTCAAGGGGTCAGCTGTGTGTATGTACAGCATGAGTGATGTGAGAAGGGTGTTTCTTGGTCCATATGCACATAGGGATGGTCCAAACTATCAATGGGTGCCATATCAAGGAAGAGTTCCATATCCACGTCCAGGAACTGTAAGTCCCCTGGATATTCAAAATGAGAATTGTGTCTATGTTTTGTTTTGTTTTAAGCAAATAAGTTGTCTAGATTTAGATGAACATGTGTGTATTCTAAAGTTGTTGATATGGATGAGTAAATTATCCTATAATTAGATGGTGTTACCTACTAAAATATATACTATGTAACTATACATCTTGTATACTGTATACATACTTGGTCAACCTTAATGTTTTAGTCCAAATAGTGTTTAACCTTCCTGCTAGATAGGAAAAAAATCTTTTCACTGTTTATTCACTTTGATTGACTTTGGATTACGGACTACATTAATTTCCATTAGAGGCAAGCCCCATAGTAGAATTGTACCGTTTTCATCATCAGCACTATATTTGTGATCAGATTTCATAGGTTAGGTAGCATGAGAGCACAGTCATACATTAGACTGCTTCTGCTGGAGAGGTATCTACAATGTAGCAGATCTACCTTTATAAATTAGAGAACTCCTTTGCTGGTACCATAATCTAGTAAGACAGATTTAGTGTATTTGATTGCAGAATTTCTGGTATGCAGACTTTCTTTATGTTTAATGGAACTCATACATTCTCAACATACACTTTCCACAGTACGCTTTTCCCAGCTTTCTAAATGGTATTCTTTAGCCATAGTCATCAAACCACCTGAAAAACAAAACAAAACAAAAAAAAACTATTACGGCATTCAAACTTCTGTACTCCACCAGGAATTCTCATATATCAAATCCTATCCTTTGAAGATTCATTTTTTTCCTAGAGAATTCAGGTTCCTCTTGAATATCCAGATAACTGAAACTGCCCTTTCCTCTGATAAACATTCTAGTGAGTTGAGATGGACAATCACATGATTTTTTTGGTTTTTTGTTTTGTTTTCTTTTGTTTGTTTTTTGGTGAAGCAATTGGGATTAAGTGACTGTGCACGATTTTATACTGATATGTTTTTAGGTACCGGGTGAAAAATTATGTTATCTTTCTAAGGTAGACTGAAGGAAGTCAACTCTACCTTTTCCACATAGAGGAGTTTCCTTTTTTTTCTTAGCCATAAATCATTTCTAAATATGTCAATGGACAGTTAAATCCCTTGATGGATCATTTTGCTGTGCACTGCTCCAAAGATAAAGTCCATGTGTTTCATTATGGTGCCAGGTTAAAGTGTGTAGCTGCCCAGACACCAATGCAACACAACTACTAGAAAAGAACTAAGTTTGAATGATCTGTTAGTAATGAAAATGAATATTACTTTATCCTTTATAAAAGAAAGGAATGTAAGGGACCAAGTAGTTAATCATTCAGGACTTTTTTTAAACCTTCATTTGTAACTTATTCTAATCTAAAATTTTGCATGTAAGTTACTTAGAGAATGATAATAGAAAGCTGAAGACATAAAGGCTTGTCTTTTTAAAAAAAATAACTTCAATCAATAGTAAACTCTTCACCTCTAAATATTTTATTTTATTGAAAATACTTTGTTGGAGTTGATATAAAATATCCCAGAAAATAAAACCACAAACCTCACTAGGCAATTCTTTTGAGCCTTTGACTTCCTCATTGGTCTTCTTGTTCCTTTATAAAAACTAGATGAATGATTAATAATCTGTGCCAAGTACAAAGGGAATTGATTTCTTCTTCTGAGCATCCTACATGATTAGGAATCTCTGTTAATTACATTTCAGGTCCTAAAAACTCTTTGAATAACATAAGTTCTTTGTGTATAAGACAAAAAGCAAGTGATTGAAGATGTTCTAACCTGTGAATGTTTGTATTACAAGATCAAATTCAGTGAAGTCTTCTTGTCAGTGTGAATCAATTTTTTTCTTTAGTCCATGCTTTGTAGACTCCATTCTACATGAAATACTGATAATCATCACCAGAATTACCTTAGGTCACAAAAATACATAGTTTTGGTTCTATGGTAGAAAATATAAAACAATAAGTGCCTCTTTAAATGTTAGTTGGTTTTAGGCACTGCATTTATATCTGTTATGTGCTATTATGAGTTAGGTAAAAGCAAAATATATATGTATGTATGTATGTATATATGTATACATATGTGTGTGTATATATATAGTATGTGTGTGTGTGTATTTATCTGCGAATGCATCATTCAGAGAAGTTTCCCTAATGATATTGGAATGTTCTGTTGAAATATGTCTTTTTCTTAATTGCAAATTCTTCTTTTATGGCCATTTTTACTCTATGAAATCAATACTAGTGAAACAAAATTTGCAGTGTGATATAAGTACTAGAAAATGTTCTTCATTCTCCAATTTTTATAAAACTCTAAGAGCTGAATAGTGGGAAGTTTATGTATCACACACATATGTATGTATGTGTATGTGTGTATACTTGGAAAATTTGTACTATTAACTAAATCTACTAAAAGATATAACCATTAATGTCATTTTTGTGTAAAATAGTCATATATATTTTCTGGGTGTTTGCATGCCTGTGTGTATACACATAGACATGTATATGCATAAAAAATACACACACATACACACAAAACTGAAAGCAATTACCAATGAACTAGAATTCTCATAGTATTTCTCATACTCATCTGTGTTTTTCATGTAGTCTCTATTCTTCCACCTTTAATTTTAATTGACAGATATCCTGTGCTCTTACATTCTCAGTGTCCCAGTAAAACATTTGGAGGGTTTGACTCAACAAAGGACCTTCCAGATGATGTTATAACATTTGCAAGAAGTCATCCAGCCATGTATAATCCAGTGTTTCCTATTAATAACCGCCCAATTATGATAAAAACAGATGTGAAATACCAGTTTACACAAATTGTAGTAGATCGAGTGGATGCAGAAGATGGCCAATATGATGTCATGTTTATTGGAACAGGTAAGAGTCAACTTCAGCATTAAATTTACATGTCAATTACATTTTACTAATGTGCTCAATACTCCCCAATAATGAAATAAAAAAAAAAAAATTAAGGTAACCAAAAGAAGTTGCCATATTCATTTGCAAGGTCTAACTTGAAAACTGAACATTAAGTCATTAAAAGCCTATTAAAACAATTCTCTTCTCAGGTCTGTTGACATCACTTTAATGACTTTCCTTTTCAATGTGACCTAAATTTGTCCATGATTGAATATGAACAGGTGTACCTAATGATTAGGAGAACATTTGGTGTCCCTAGTCACTTCACTAGGGTTCAGTAGGTGCCTCACAATTTTTTTTTCTCTCTAGAGCAAAGAATTATTTTTCCTTTCTGTTCCTGAAGGTTTCCTAATTTTGTGGAAAAGTTTAGTCAAATAACTCATTTATGTAATGTGATTTGAACTTGCCTAAAACTAACAGCAGAAAAGAAAATAAAGAAATAAAATTGTCATTAAAATGTGTTTAATTTTCCTTCAGGTCATTAGAAGAGTTCATGGCAGAAATGGCAAAATTCTCCATGGAAACATCCAAGCTCTTGCTTTGTAAAACTTTAGAAAAAATTTATGAATTCTATAACCACCTCCTATTTTCAATGTCTAAATATTCAGACTCCACAATTAAAATCTAACCTTTGGATACCTCTTTGGTCTGTGACTGGTTCACACTGGTACTATGACATAAGCTGTTTTTATTTTTTTTTCTCTGTAACAGTAATACTATTTTTGAATGGTACCAGTTGCAAATCTGCAACTTGGTATGAAGGGTCAGATTCCAAGGCAATAAATCTCTAGTCTCCATCCTTGTTAGTGCTTGACATAAATCAGTGGGAAGCTGATTACTCTGCTAAAACTCCATGTAGTAACATTTATTTTCCTTAGTTGGGAAACAATGAACAACATTTAGAATTGCAAAGATAAATGTCACTGGGCAACAGGTACTTTAAAGACTTAAAAATTTCAAACCAGAAGTAATTGTGCTATCAGGTATAATAATGTTAGGTCCTGAACATTATTTTATCCTTTATTTTTATGAGTGATACACCTTCATTAAAAGGGTCCAAGAACAATATGGATATGATTCTTTGCAATATTATTTTAGTCTTGGATTGCAGGCATTAATGTCAACTCCTAAGTAGCTTTATAAAAATTGAATGAAATTAGCTATGTTAATTGGATTTATTTTTTAATTAATAATTTTATTTGTTTCTAGGAATATAAAAATGCCAAAAAATTTAATAAAGTATTTTTTCTATGTTCAAAATTTGGAGTAATTGAATGTATAGTAAATGCCACTCAATTCCTACAGTTTATATCATTCTTACTCCTTTTTTGGGGGGATAATTTTTGACAGTGTAAAAATTTGTTTTTTCTCCTTATGATAAGTCTGCTTTGAAATGTTCAACAAAAGAAACAAAATCTGTCCTTTTGAAGTCTTCTTGTCACAAACCAAAATTAAAAGCCCCACTTTCATGATCATACTGAATGTCAGACTCGGATGGAATATCAGTCAGCAAAGTATTGGTCTATCTGTCAGTAAAGTGAATTAATAACAGTAATTTTATCTTTTAAAATGAGTTGCTCACCAGAGTCTATTAATTCTAAAAGAGTATGAAATTGTTTGAAATTCTAGTTTGTAAAACTTGATTTAAGGCTCTGATAAATTCTGTTCGTGATACCAGAGATATAATCAGAAGAGTTCAAGAGAATCACATAGTCTAACTCTTGGAGTTCTGAAAAGCCTAAGTTCCTGTAAATACTTGTCTTCTTAAAAGAGTATCCTATATTTTGATTTTTTCAGAGATGCACAGTCAACTTATTTTAATTCAAGAAATCCATTGTTTTTCTTTATCAACATGCCACTTCAGATGTGTAACTCCATAGGGTTCTCATTGGAGGTAGACATGCTCACACACAAATTAATCCTTTGTAACATCCTTTACTAGGTAGCCCCTTAATAATTACAGTGTTTTAAACGTGTTTAAAATGAGCACATGTAGCCAAAATAAGACTCAATTTTTTTGTCTATATGCATTTCTCCTGCCATAACTGAAAGTTCAATTCATTAGCTTTCAGTTTAATTACAAATTTCTCCCCCTTATGTTCATCAAGTATTAAAAAAAAATACCAATTTAGAAATTAGAACTCTTGCTTTCCAAATAGAAACCAATCCACAGTACTTGTCACAGAGGAGAATTTGTATTTTTAGAAATGAATAGAATATTTGAGGAATAATAATGCCAATTATAACTTGGACTAATCATGTTTTCTATTATTTTAAATTTCCTTTTTTGTTTTGTTTTGATTTCTGAGGAATTATTTATATAAAGTGTATAATCTTTAAAAAGCCATTGATATATCATGTTATTTTTTCCTTTCCTGAAACCATATTGCTGTCATTCATCACAATAATTATATGACTATCTTTGCGGACACACATACATGCACACACACTAAATCCTTTTATCTCACCATTCATTTCCCTGATCCAAAATGATCTGACATCTTCATCAGTTAGTGTTTCTTATAATTTCCTTCAAAATGTAGTTACTATAATAACTTTCATATTTTGAAATAAAAGTGGAAAAAGATGGCATTCCTATAAGGATAAACAAATGTTTCTTGTTCAATGGAGTATGCACATAATTTTATCTATTCCTTTGTGGCAAGTAGCAATTGAGCTCTTTTCAATAGTAATAATGACAATAATGTTGCTTAATTCTATTTAGACATCACAGTTAAACTTTTAATAATTCCTTTTTGGTTAAATATGTTGTTTTTTTTTTTAATTTGGGAGGCAGAGTTTGTTTTGGGTGATAGCTAGGTGACTCAATGGATAGAATGTTGGGCCTGGAGTAAGGAAGACCTGAGATCAAATGTGACCTCAGAGACTAACTAGCTGCATGACCCTAGGCAAGTCATCTAATTTCTGTTTGTCTTCATCCACTGGAGAAGGAAATGGCAAACCACGCCATATTTTTGCCAAGAAAACCCCATGTGGAGTCACAAAGAGTTGAACATGACTAAATAACTGAACAAATGTGTACAACTTCAAGAGAATGCCCTTCATAAACCAATTTTTTTTTTCTTAGATAAAATGCATCCCAGTTTGGGTGCTTAAAACACATAATAAATATGCCTCTTAGATTTATTATGTATTAATTTTGCAAACACAAAATAAAGCTTATTCATTAATTTTAATATTATTATGCCCTCCATCATTATGTGACCTTTTCAATAGTCATCTCCTTTTCTTTCTCTCAAAGACATTGGGACAGTTCTCAAAGTAGTTTCAATTCCTAAGGAGACTTGGCATGATTTAGAAGAAGTCTTACTGGAAGAAATGACAGTATTTCGGGTGAGTATTGCTTAATTTTAAGTGTCAACAAGTTCAGCAGTACTTTTTCCCTTGGACAGCTGCACATTGAACTTGGTGCAAACAAGCGATCGAGTGCACCCTTCTAATTAGCTTGTCAATTAAAAAGTCAGGCACTAGTCAAGATAAATCTTAAAAGTTTCAGTAGGGGCAGCTAGGTGGTGCAGTGGATAGAGCACTGGCCCTGAAGTCAGGAGGACTTGAGTTCAAATCTGGCCTCAGACCAAACACTTGACACTTACTAGCTGTGTGACCCTGGGCAAGTCACTTAACCCCAATTGCCTCACTAAAAAAAAATAAGTCTCAATAGTTGTTAAAACTAAGGATGAAAAGAATTATGTTGCAGACTTATTTTGTTGTATCAATGATAATATATTTTAATCAATTTTAATTCAATACAAGAAACTTTTATTGAACACTTATTATACATAAGAAACTGTCATTCATGTTGATGAATAACACATAGTTCCTGCCATTAAGAACTTCAACAATTAAGTCAGAGAGAAGACAAATAATGATAACAGGAAATTAAGTGAGATAAGTACATAAAAGTGGAATAAAGTGTTCTAGGAAATATCAATGGTCAGAGAAATAACTTCTTACTAAATCAGAGAAGCCTTTAGAAAAGAAATGCCAATTGAGTTGGATGTTGAAAGATTTATAGGATTTCAACAACTAAGGTGGAAGACATGTAAGGTGTAGAGAAGAGAAATGAGCAAATCCTGATTTTAAAGCCTTAATTATACTTAATTAAATACACTTAAAAAGTGATCCCAGAAATATAGTTATTTTATGTCATTGATTCCCATCTTCACCACCCTGTGGTGGTGTTAGATCAGAAACTAGAACAAGGCTATGTTCCTACTGGGTATTCTGTTTCTGTAGAAATGGAGTGAAAGAGAACAAAATGGAAAGTAAGAGGTGTAATTATAGACCATCCTAGTGGATATTCTCTTTTTATGTTAATTAGAAGGAATGAAGATGAATAGATTTCCTGAAAATGCTTACAGAATTAAGTTTGTAGATTTTTGGAAAAAGTGGATTTTTTAAAACAACTCCAATACAGAGAAGAGATGAAATAATATACTGGAAAAAAATTAATGAAATAGGAATCAGAAAACCTGGGTCCCAAACCTAGATCTACCACTGACTATATAGTGATTCAACGGAAAGAGAGTTCTTCTACTTACCATGCAAGAAACCCAAGCAAATCAGTCAATAATACCTCTGGGCATTGGTCTCCTTATCTGTAAAACAAGAGGAGATTGTTGAATTAGATTATCTCTGGGTGTGCATCTATGATCCTATCATCGTTCTGAAATCCGGAGAGTTAGAAGACTTTTGGACTTCAATTGGTGTCCTAGTCTTTTCAATGTTGCCAGAAGAGCTGACTGAATGGCTGCATCTGGAGCTAAGAAGAAATTAGACCTACTGAGGAAAGGCATTTTCAAGACTCTACAAGCAGCCCAAGAGGAAAGTTATAAGATATGTAGGGAGAACTTTATAATTACTTCAGAAAGGGAGAAGAGGATTTTCAGCAAGTAGGAACTGAGGAATTATGTCTTTGCCACAAATACTTTTGGAAGGGGAACCCACTTTCCTCTAGACTTCACATGTATTGTCAGGAGAGTTTACTATACACTTCTTGGGGGTGAATGTTCTATCAAAATTCTTCTTACTATGCCATCTTAGTAAAATACCCCTTCTTAAAAACTAAAATAATCTAATATCTGGCAGACTAATTGTTATCAAGCAATAATTGGAAAGGAGGTAGATAGTACACCACAGGGAGCTTGTGAGCAGTAACTTTTAAAACTATACCACATTTTTTTTAAGAATTTCCTTAGAAATGTGAGGGTAGAAGTTAAAACAAAGCTCAGGCTTTGAGAACTCTGATTGCCAGTTTAAATAGCGGGGGCTGGAAGAACAGCTCCAGAGTAGATGCTACAGGTAAATATAAATAAGTAACCATTTCTTTTCTTAGTTGTTCACTGTCCTCCTCGCCTATACAAGAAATACTCAATCACTTTCTCACGGATGACCAGTAAAGTGATTCAACAAGAAATGCTTATGCTTTCATAGTTGGATATTACCTTTCCCTACACTCTTCTCTGCAATAGCTCCTGAACATTATTGCCATTGCTATTTCTATGGTACTCAAGTAGACAAAACATATTTGGGCAGAATTTGGAGAAATATTTACTTTAAACATTCTATGCTCACAGGCAAAGCTTATACTCAGATTGCAACCTACAGATTGGAATATTTCACTGTCAGACTTTGTTTAATTTTGTAGTTAAAAAAAATTACAACACATTAAACCAGTCTCTATATCCAGTGATGTAGTGAAATGAGAGACTATTTTGTGGTCTCTGGTCTGTCTTTCTCATTGAGATGGGAAAGTTATATTCTCATTCTGTCTGCAAAAGTAGGTTGATGTGATCTAGTAAAATACATCTAAAGCCAACCAGTTAATTTATAATCATGTTATACCCATAAGGTCATTATTATTAAATCATTTTTGCTGGATTAAATAAGAATATTGACAACATATAATATTATGTTCATAGTTATGCTGCAAAGTCCCTAGTCAATTTCTGAACATTCCAACAACTGAGATTACCCCCAAAGAATTTTTATTACAGGTTTAATCCAGATCTCAAGTAAAACATAGGAAGAAAACCTATTGCTTCTGAATATAATTTTCCTGAGCTAATAAGTAAGCAGTCATCCACTTCTTTTCAAACAGACAGCCCACGATAAATTTCAGCCCTAAGCATAACTAAAATCTTCACTGGCTTAAAACTCTAGGTATGGCCTTGCCTGGACTCTAAATAGGTATCATGATGGCTTAAGTATTGGACCTGGGGTCAGTTAGACCTGCCATTGATTCTTACTGTTGGTGTGACACTAGGCCAGTCCTTTCCTCAACCTCTGTTTCCTCATCTGATAATTGGAGATAATAACATTACCTACTTGATGGTGAGCAAACTCAGTTATCTAGGAAATCTGACAACCATGAATTCCTTCTGACACAGGATATTTCACTCACTATTTTTTAGATTCATTAAAAAGTTCTTAATAAAAGTAAAAATGCCCTGTGAAAGGTCTAAAAGGTATTTTAAAATTACATGTGAATATAATATATTATAATAAAAATGCATGAGGTTAATAATCAAAGGGAAAAAAATGAGGGTTGACATGAAGATGCAAACTTGATTTTCACTTTAACTAGTTAGGACCAAATTTTGGTTAACACCAGCTATGGAAATACATTGCACTGCCCATGTTTCAATGCATTAATAAACACAATTGGTCTTATTTATAGCTTTCCTGAACTGGAAGGTTTGCAAAGCTGTAACATTGATAACATGCATTTTAAACCCAATTTATGCAATATCTCAGGAACGGCTGAGCAAACAAATGAATGAGTTCAATTTTCATTCAAATGTAAAACATAATTGATGCTTTCCAATACTAAGTCTATTAACTTGTTTGTACAAGAGAGTCCACATGTTTAGCATCCATTCAGCCTTAGTGAACTCTCCTGAGATCAGCAGGTTGAAAGCTGCTCAAGTGTAAAAGTTTAATAAGTATTAGAAATATATTGAATAATAATAATAATAATAATAATAATAATAATAATAATAATAATAAACACCATGAATTGGAGCCACATAAATACAAGCTTGGAACTGTTTTTCTATTTTATTTTTTTCTTGAATTTGACTTTGCACCCTAAAATGGATAATTAAAATAAAGGTTTCTAAAGCTACATTAGTTTTAGATGGAAGTCAGATTCAACATGTATTTTACAGTAAAATAGTGTTTATTTTAATGAATGTCGTGACATATTATTGATTCAAATACCACAACAATGAGTTATAGGCAGTGAACTATTTAGAACCATTATTAATTTCTACCCTTTCTTTAAAAGCATTGTTGAATCCTAAATTTAGTATGTTAAGGCCATAGTATATCATACTGTGGTTTAAAGTGTGATAAGTTTATCATTCGGGGTTACAATTAAAGTACTGTTTATTCATTTTCAGCTGATGCAGAGATATTTAGATTTTTTTACACTTGCATTTTAAGTTACTTCCATTGATACAAATTTTAAAACTAAAATAAAGATATGCCCATATTCAGTTAGGAAGGGCTATTGATGGGACAAAAATAATTACCACTTCTCATTATAGGGAAAAAAAATCTGTTGAGAAGAAGAAGCTGCTAAGGATGACTTTTCTTCTTATAAACACTTCATTTAGGGTTGGTATGTTGTTAGTTGATTCAGACACTAATGATACAAAGCAGTTTAAATAAAGGATTCAATTTTATCTTTTCAACATGAAAAACAACTTTTCATTTGTTGCTTTAAGATCTACTAATGGGGCAGCTAGGTGGCATAGTGGATAGAGCACCAGCCCTGAAATAAGGAGGACCTGAGTTCAAATCCAGCCTCAGACCAAACACTTCACACTTACTAGCTGTGTGACCCTGGGCAAGTCACTTAACCCCAATTGCCTAAAAATAAAAAAAAAAAGACATCCATACAAAAAGGAAAAGAGACTGATTGATAGGTGGATCATTCATTTGGGGGCAACTAGGTGGTGCAGTGGATAAAGCACCAGCCCTGGATTCAAGAGGACCTGAGTTCAAATCCGGCCTCAGACACATAACATTTACTAGCTGTGTGACCCTGGGCAAGTCACTTAACCCCATTGCCTAGCCAAAAAAAAAAAACTACTAATGCCATCAGATTCAAAATTGGTGTCAAACTTGCTACTATACAGTGAATGGGACCAGGCTAGAGTCAAGCCAAATCTTTCATTATGTGTTATCTAAATTAATTGTGGCTAACTCAGAAAATGACATCTAGATTATGATTTCATAAAGATAGAGCAACTTTAAGAAATTGCTAAATAATTTGATTAAAATCTAGGTGCCTGCAGAATCAATTAACAAAATGTTCTTGATTTTTTAAACAAGTCATATTTTTTACAAAATGACTAAGGTAAATACTCTTAAATTTACAAACCAGTCAACTCCCATCTGAATGATTGTTGAAGGAATATATTTGTCTATTTCACAGCTCCTGAGATTAAAGATTGGGAGATAAGATCTAGCTCAGTGATTGGTGAAAAAAGAATATAGTATTTTAAAGTATTATTAGCATGAGTTTTAAGTTTCTTTCTAATAACAGAATACAAAATTTTGGAAAACTGGTCATACAACCAATTTCAAAAATGTAGATTTTTTAAGACACATAAGTAAAAAAGATGACAAAGTAGAATAGTAGGCAAGGGAGGGAGAAAAGTATGTACATGAAACTGTTAAAAAAAAATAGCCTAGAAGGAAATTTCAAAAAGACGCAAACAGGTTTTGAAGACTTGGCTAACATCTATTCATAGTAACTTAGTGATCTCTCAATTAAAATCCTGCAGTATTCCTCTCTGGACCATTCATTTGGTCTTCATGTAGTGATGTTATTAGTTTTCATTTCTGTATTTCTTTCTTCTACAGATAAAAAAAAGGTTGTATTCCTCTTTACTCTCAATAGGAGGTACTGAATATCACATGCTGTCCAACTCAGTGTTTGTATTCATTGTCATGAACTGTTTTTCTTTGTTACAAGGGGAAGGTTCAATGGTAGATATAGTATATTAGTAAATGATTGTGGTATTGAAATAAAAGCTATCAATAAAACTCAAAAATAAACCGTTCTTTGGTAATACTGGTGTTTACTTGCAGGTATCTGCTTCAGTATCTGTTACAATTTTCTGTGTGTTTTAAGGTAATGTTTTGTTTCTTTTTTTTCCTGCAAAAAGTTTAACTTTATTTTCTCTATTCTCTTAGGAACCAACTGTTATTTTGGCAATGAAGATTTCCACAAAGCAGGTACTTCCATATTACTGGAATAGATTTTTTTAAATAATTAATTTATTTTTAGTTTTCAACATTTGCTTCCACAAAATTTTGAGTTTTAAATTTTCTCCCCCTCCTTCTCCTCCCCCCCCCAAGACAACATGCAATCTGATACAGGTTCTACTTACACATTCACATTAAACCTTTTCACATTAGTCATTATGTAAAGAAGAATTAGAACTAATAGGGAGAACCATGAGAAAAAAGAAAGAAAACAAAGCAACAAAAGAAAAGGAGAGCAAATAGTATGGTTCCATCTGCATTCAGACTCCTAAGTTCTTTCTCTGAATGTGAACATTTTCCATCATGAGTCTTTTAGAGTTGTCTTAGATCCTTGCATTGCTGAGAACAGCTAAGTCTATCAAAGTCAGTCATCACACAATGTGGTTGTTACTGTGTATAATGTTCTACTCATTCTGCTCATTTCACTTTGCATCAGTTCATATAAGTCTTTTCACATTTTTCTCAAGTCCACCCATCTCATCATTTCTTTTATTTATTTATTTATTTTTAGTTTTCAACATTCACTTCCACAAGATTTTCAGTTCCAAATTTTCTCCCCATCTCATCTCTCCCCCTACCCCAAGATGGCATACATTCTATATACCCCTTACCCTGCCCTCCCTTCTATCTCTCCCCCCTTCTCTTATCCCCCCCTCCTTCTATTTTCCTGTAGGGCAGGAGAGATTTCTATATCCCATTTCCTGTATTTCTTATTTCCCAGTTGCATGTGAAAACAATTTTTTTAACATGTGTTTTTAAAACCTTGGGTTCCAAACTTTCTCCCTTCCTCCCTCCCCACCCACCCTCATTGAAAAAGGCAAGCAACGTTAGACAGGTTATATGTGTGTAGTCATGCAAAACACTTCCCTAGTATTCAACTTGTGAAAAACTAAGTATATTTCCCTTCATGCTATCCCGTGCCCCATTTATTCTCTCTCTTTTGACCCTGTCCCTTCTCAGAAGTGTTTGCTTCTGATTACCCTCTCCCCCAATCTGTCCTCCCCTCTATCATCTCTCTGCTCTCGTCCCCTTCCCCTCCTATTTTTCTATAGGGTAAGATAGATTTCCATACCCAACTGAGTATGTATGTTATTCCCTCCTTAAGCCAAATCTGATGAGAATAAGATTCGCTCATTCCCTTTCACCTTCCCCATTTCCCCTCCACTGTAAAAGCCTTTTCTTGTCTGTTTGTTTCATGTGAGATAATTTACCCCATTCTACCTCTCCCTTTCTCCTTTTCCTAGTATAATCCTCTCTCACCCCTTAATTTTGTTTTCCAGATATCACCCTTTCATAGATTTTTTAAAATAATTTCAAAATGGAACATTTTAGATTTTTATATGAAGCATGCCATTAAAAAAAAAACAAAGTCATCTAGATAAGTTCCCTAATCTCATAGATATGGAAACTGAGACTGTGTGAAGTTGAAGGATTTACCTAAAGTAATACAAATTTTATGTGTCAGAGTGAGGATTTCAACCCAGGTTCTGTGATTCCTGTTTCCATAACAAGAAAAGAGGACACCTAGGTGGTGCAATGGATAGAGTGCTGGGTCTGGAGTCAAGAAGACTCATCTTCTTGAGTTCAAATTAAGCCTCAGTCATTTACTATCTACGTGATCCTGGGCAAGTCATTTAACTCTATTTGCTTCAGTTTCCTCACCTGTCAAATGAGCTGGAGAAAGAAATAGCCAGCCACTCCAGCATCTTTGCTAAGAAAACTCCAAATGGGGTCACAAAAAGTCAGGCATGAGTGAAAAACAACTTGAAAAATACAAAAAAAAATTAGATTTAGCATATGGTGTGTAAGGTCAGAACTAAACATCATGCAAATTTATTTATTAATAATGTGTACTAAAAGTTCTGTCCATGTTATGTCTTTAAATCCTCACAACAACCTTGTGAAATAGGTGTTATTTCTATCCTCATTTTACAGATGAGCAAACTGAGGGTGAGAGAAGTTAAATAATTTCCCTAAGATCACATGACTAGTAAATATATATCTGAGATGGGATTTAAACTCAGGTTTTCCTGCCTCCAAGGCCAACACTTTTAACAACCACCTGCAAATTTTATATGTCTCATAATATTTTTATTTAAAAAGAACTTCTTTTCCTTGATCCTCTACTTGGTTTAAAAGTTTAAATGAAGAAAAATATGGGTTAAAATATAAAACTATAAATTATACACATTTACTTCAATCATTTAAGTTAAATTTTAAGATTATTAAAATTTATTGGTAGTCATAAAATGTCTACAACTAAAATTTGAAAGGTACACAAGAAAGAGATTGATCTTGAATTTGAAATATTTGTGGAAACTCATTGGGAGAGGATGAATATTCCTGCTTTGGTATCTGTAGTTTTCCAAAAATACAAAAGGGATGGAGAAAATATCTTTGCAAAAAATATCTTCTGAGAGAAATGGCTTCGATGTTACAGATCTCTAAATTCTTTAGTGTGGGTATTCTCTCCCCAGTAGATACAATTTACAACCCATTTTACTCTTTTGTAGAAAATTTCAAGCATTTCTTTGACTGAAAAACATATATTCATTCATCCTGTGACCAACTTCTGGTGAATAGGCTAATTTTAGTTATGTTGCTCTTTGGACAGAATTTGAAATATTGCCAGGCCTCTACTCAGAGTTAGTAGAACCTGTCAGAGCTTGCTTTCCATTGATGTAGCCTTTGCAAATACAGAGTCAACTATGAGCCATGACACATTGGAGTAGGACTTAAGTGGAGATTTAAAGGAAATATCATATCACTTATGTTCCATCTGAAATTATATAATTATGCCCGAATGTCTATTTGTAGAAGGGCATTATTTTCTGAGACACTTAATAAGGCACCGATCTTGTCTTCAAAAATCATTTTATCTACATGAGAAAGCTGTAGTTTGCTTGGAGCTCTGGAAAACAATTTTATAGTTTTAAATTTGCTTACATTTTGGAAGTTCCGAGCAAAAATTATTCTCTCCCAATTGTATATAAAGCCCCATGCTTATTAATAGTGTTTATTATGCTATGTGAGTCTTAGTTTCTCATTTCCAATTTAATGAATGTTTTGGCAGCACATTTAAGTAAAATAGATGATGGCTAAATGCTGTAGTTTTCACAAACAAATTTTGTTTTTACTTTTCATGAATTATATTTTTGTTTCCAAAGTGTTGCCAGTTATTTCACATCAACTGCATGCAGTTCATTAATATAAATTAAGAACAGTGTTTTGCTGCTAAACAATTGAAGGCATTGTTTGGACTTGGAAATATGTCTTCAAAAATTTGTTTTATTAGGTAGAGGATCCTTCCACAATCCTCAAAGAACTGCCATTACAAAAGTAGGCCACTGTTACCTAGATTAACCATGCTTTGAGGATGCTTTAGTAACCCAATGTAAAACTAATTTGATACTAAAAATATGATTTGGGAAAAATCACTTAATTTGGGTCTCAAATTTCTCATAATAAATAAGATTGTTGGACTAAATGATATGTAAGGCTCCTTCCAATTCTAAAACCATATGATAAAATGAGAGTAGTAGCAGCAGTAGTTAACCCCAGGTTTAAGCAATGTAGTAGCTGCCAAGTCCATCATTCAGTGAAATAATGAGATAATATGGATAGGAGTGAAACTGGGAAAATAATCACTGGTTAAACTGATACCTTTTGTATTATTGCAATTTGAGGATCTTTCTTCTAGGTCTGTTTTTAATCTTACCTCTCAATTTGTTTTGTTTTAATTGTCAATCATCCTTTTATCCCTCAAGCTATTAAGACCATATTTTGCTAAAATGAACTTCCTCTTCCCATGAGGATATATGAAAATAGATTGACAAATAATCTCTAAGACATCTAGAGATAAAATGTGTAAGTGAAACTCATAGTGGAAATAGTATTGACCTGATACTGTCATCTTACCCCTCATAAGCATGTTTTCACCTGTTCTTATGACCTAACATTTGTTAGTTGTTGGCAAGGAAATATGGGGATTTCCAGGATGGAAGCCAGGCTGGCATAATTCCTCACCTAATGATTTTTAATAGAATTGCTTGCCTTATATTCAGCATTTAATTTGCTACCTTCATATGTAATTTCTTTACAATATACTGCCTATTATAGAAATACTTTACATTGAAAAAATATTTTGATATCATCAAGTAGTCAGAAAAGTTTTTACCAGTTGAAGAAGGAAAATTAATGATCATCAACATTATCTCAATGAAATACCTTATGGTTGAAAGCATTTGGTATACTGCAATTTATTTGGACTGTCTCTGCTATTTTTCTGACTTTGGATTTTCCTCACCTTCTGGCAGACATCAAGTTATCCTTTCAATCTTCCCTTCCTTCCATGGACCTTTCAAATATCGTTTGCTCTTTAAAAGCTCTAGAACTGATTAGAAGTATAAAAGTCCCCTCTTGAAATGGCATGTCAATTCTTAAATACCATCAGAGAGGAGGTATTTTTTTTAATTTTTGGGTACTCTATTATATAAATTAAATATTTTCAAAAACTGAATTGACCATCTTGGCCAAGAGTTTTCAAAAATTTTTAGGTCCATAACATAACTCTTATTCATTCAAGTCTGTCCTATTCTTCCTACAGTGGCTTCTGAATTTCCTCTATGAAAATATAAGTGCTGTATTTGGATTCAGGAACCTGGGTTTTAATCTGAATCTGCCATTTAGGTGGCAAGGTATTACAGTGGCTAGAAAATGTTGGACCTGGAGTCAGAGAGACCTGAGTCCAAATCATGCCTATTCAGTAATCAGGTATTCAGATACCTACTAGTTATGTTACCCTGGACAAGTCATTTAACCTTTCTCAGCTAGACTAAGTCTTACAAGTACAAAGGATTCAAGAATGAAAATATTATCCATACCCAGATAAAGAATTGATGAATTCTGAATGCAGATTGAAGCACATTCTTTTCTTTTACTTTATTCTCTCTCATTTTTTTCCCTTTTAATCTGTTTCTTCTTTCACTGCTGTGACTAATATGGAAATATTTTTACATGATAGCATATGTATAAACTATATCAAACAGCCTACCATTTTCAGAAGAGGAGAGGGAAGGGAAAGAGGGAGAAAAAAATTGGAAATCAAAATCTTGTAAAAATGAATGCTAAAAATTTTCTTAACATGTGACTGGGGAAAAATAAAATACTATTATATTAAGTCTTATCATCTTTACCCTCTCCCTTTTCATTTTAAAATCCTGTTAATTAGATTTGCAAGATTCCAGGCAAATATATTTTTACTAGTCTTTGAGCTCATCATTCCTAATTTTAAATCATGGTCTAGAAATTCAAATCGATTCTCAAAGATCATGTTCTTAGCCAGCTATTATTCAATTCCCAAATCTACATTTTCCCCCCACAATACAGTAAGTTCAATCAGTATTAATTAGAATAATGCTACCTATATCCTCAAGGTCTTCAATTCTTTGCCCAGGTCTTTACATTCTTTAGCAATATGGTCTCGGTTCCTTTTGGTGTTTTAATATATTTGCAAATGACCCTCTAGAAGTGGGTGAAAGTCAGATTGGAGAGTGTTCAGAAAGATGTCTGTTATGTTCCAGAAGATGGCAGACCCCTCTGGTGTATATATCAGACAGTGACATAGCTACCTCAGTACCCTTACTTAGGGAGTTATGAACCACCACTATTCTTCTCTATTATCTCTGATACCATACCTTGACATCTTGCCTGATGACACCTGAGAACCCACACACTTTTGGAAGCTGCTTCTTCCAGAGTTGATTTAGATCTCCCTTCTTCAGGAAAAGCTTCATATCTATGATATAACTCTGAAGTCTTCAGTGGTCTGTCTTTCTCTTTCTGTCACATTCCTCTCTCCTATTTCTTGACACTTAAGGTTCCATTAGAAACCATGCTTATTCTTAATAACTACCACTAACTCTTTTTCATTCTGAGAAGCCATTTATTTAAATGTTTATATTGGGACTTTTGCCAGGGATTGCCATGGAGATAACTGGTCAGTGGTTTACACAATCCTTTTCTAAAAACTAAGATAGCATTTGAACATTTCCTATTTTCCAATAAATTCTATCTCCTATTCCAGTATTTCTTAAAAAAAAAAAGTAGCAACAGTATGGTTCAAGAATTTCATCTGTAGGATATGAGTATAATTCATCTTACCTGGAGACATAAATTAATTTAAAAGACCCAAAGGTTTTCCTCCTCTTTGCTTACTTACCTTAAGCTTTGATTCTCCCTTAACCGTGTGTCATCCCTTCTCAGTCAGAAGATCATCTGCCTTGATAAAGAATAAAAAAGCAAAACAGAATTTAGTAATTCTTTTGTTGTTGTTGTTGTTATCTGTTAACATCACACCTTTCTCCCTTAGGTAGTAGACCTATGCCTTCCTTGTCCTTCAGACAAAGTTAAAACAAACAAAAAGGAACTGATTTTGTGAACATTCTTCATAATTCTTAACTCCTTCTAATCTTTAGTGTCTCTGACACTCTGATGCTCTTCTGAGGAACAGACATCCAAAATCCAACTATTTTGGCCACATAAGAAGTCAATAAAGTAGGAAAATTCTCAGGGGCTGAAAGCAAACGATATAGAAATTCTTCATGACTAGCCCATAATCTAAGACTGATTTGTATTTATGTGTTCATTTGGTATAACTTTAAAAAATAATAAGCATCCTAAGATATAGAGACAGTGTGTTACAATAGAAAGAGCACTGGTTTTGAATCAGAAGCCCTAGCTTTAAATCCAGCATTTCTCAGTATGTGAGAAAAAAAAGTGTAACTTTCATCAGTCACTTCACTTTTCTGTCCTTGTAGTTCTAAATTTCTGGTCCTTATTACAAGGGATGACCTATAAAGCAACTCCATTTAAATGTTACTATCTTTATATGTCTAGGTTTATATCAATATAAGACACCTGGTTCTGCCAAATATCAATATCATTATAAGCAAAAATAGCATCTACATGGTACTTTTAGGTTTGTAATGTGCTTTTCATATATTATCTCAACTTCTCAACACAATAACTGTGTAAGGTAGGTACCATTATTATCCTCATTTTACAGATGAGGAAACTGATGACAACAAGTGATTTACCCAGGGTCATACAACTAATGTGTCTGAGGTAGAATTTGAACTCAAGTCTAACATTCACTCTACTATATCCTATTGTTCAATTACTTATGTGAATTACTAATAGTGGAATTCATTTTCCTACCCAAAATATAAAGTTTGATTATGTACAGAGTAAGATTTCTTTTAAATTATATTTGCCAAACTCAGCCTTTATAAAAATGACTTCTTTCCACAGCAACAACTATACGTTGGCTCAGCTGCTGGGATTGCCCAGCTACCTTTACATCGGTGTGATATATATGGAAAAGCTTGTGCAGAGTGTTGTCTTGCTCGAGACCCATACTGTGCGTGGGATGGTTCTTCATGCTCTCGCTATTTTCCTACTGCAAAAAGGTAAGGTTGACAGGCACATTAATATATGTATATGTATATATTATATAAACATGTGTACACCCATATTTTTAAAAACTCATTGTTGAACATCAGAAGACCTAATGATTTTGCCTTGAGTTTTTTTTTTTTAAATCCGCTTTTATTCCAAGTAGTACATCATAATGATCTTTTTTCCTGGGCATCAGCCAAGAAGAAGCAATCACAACAGTATATTATTTTATGGGTTATATGACCGGTATTTTACAAAATACTCTCAAAAGGCACTGTGGAAAAACAAGGGTGCTCTATGTGAAGAAGCAAAAGTTTCTGCTGAATAACAAAGTGGGAAACTAGAAGTCTTCTTGGGATTTTCCTCAGAATACAATGGAATTAACTTATTTTGAGACACTTAGACATGAGTATGGAAAATCATCAATTTTTATTTATTATGATAATGCCAAGTATATGCAAGGTCATAGTAATGTGATTTGGTCCATTAAAATAAGGAAACTAAATGGTCCATTGTATTAGGAGAGACATGGGCCTACTTTACTGATTCCAGGTATCAAGTGGTACAAATGATTTATCCACAGATAGGAAGGATGCAGTTGTTGAATATTAAAGCCAGCCTATATTTTCATATTCCTGGTACTGTTGAGCATAGAACTTCCCTGGTCTCTTTTCCTACCACAAAGCTCTTAAGAGGGGGAGGATTCATCTGAATAAGCCTAACAGCCACCTCCTGCTGGTTCATAGAAATGCTGGAGACCAATTCGCTAAGGCAAATCATTTATGAGGAAGGTGGAGGGAGGAAGGGAGGGAGGGAGGGAAGGGAGGAAGGGAGAGAGGGAGGGAAGGAAGAAAGAAGCCTTTTTAGTTTAGCTTTCTGTTTCCCAGAGGATACTTAGGTCAATAGTATTCCTTAATTCCCAAGTGGTGTATAATCCTATCTTCTGTTCAGACTAGGGCCTTCCCCTCTTGAAATTCTGTCTGCACTACAAGGCCTACTCCATCCAAATTCCTAGCCAGTTTTGAGTTTGTACTTTCAAAGCTGCGTCATACAATATGTCATATACAAAATTTGTATTATACATAATTATATAATATATAATAATTAAATCATTATATGTTATACATACGTGTGTGTGTGTATAGCAGCTAAGTGGAAAAGTGGATTGAGTGGAAGAGGGGCCTGGAGTTAGTAAGACTCATCTTCCTGAGTTCATATCTGGCCTCAGACACTTATTAGCTGTGTGACCCTAGGCAAATCATTTATCCTTGTGTGCCTCAGTTCCTCATCTCTAAAAGAAAATGGCAAATAATTCCAGTATCTTTGCCAAGCAAACCTCAAATGGGGTCACAAAGAGTTGGGAGATAACTGAAAAACGACTGAACGTATAGACACATATATGTATGATATACATACACATATAACACATATACATACACACAGTAAATTGTTATTCTATCTTCAGGCTTTGTAATTTAGTTGTTAAGATACAATTAGCAAGTTACCTAGGGAGACCATGTGATAAAATGGAAGGAGTCAAGGTTTCACTTTCTACCTCTGCTACTGACTACCTTGATCAGTTTCCTCATCAGTGAAGTAAGGGAGTTGTACTAGATGACCTCCAAGTTCCTTTAGAGCTCTAATTCTAAAATGCTATGATCCTGTTTGGAACATGGTATATCACAAATCAAAATAAGACTTATAAATGTATCATTAGATGATAAATTATTATCACTGAATAGCTATTTGTTATTATGCTTTCCTCTGTATAATCTTTATGTTAGAGCATTCCATGCCATGAAAGGCCTGGAAATAGTTGGTAAGGCTTTCTGTTTTCTTAGGTCCTATCCCCAGTTTCCCAGCCCTAAAGATATCTTGATGTTGTACCACCCAGTATGCTAACATTACCACTCCTATTTGTAAACCTATACTTTACAATTCACAATTCTACTGATAGCGTTGAGACCAAGTACTCAATCTTTCTTTGTCCCTCTCCCTTTTTTTTTTCTTTTCTCAGTAGTAATTGCGCACTGGAGGGGAAAAAAAATCCCTTTAGTTGTACTTTAATTTTGTAAGTCCTCAAAACAAACTCCACCTTCTGGTATGATGTCCTTTCCTCCTCTTACAGGGAGATAGGCTTCTCCCATCTAAGGAAATGCTTCTAGTTTGCTGTGGGACTGATAAAGAACCCTAATCACCTTCCAGCTCTATTTCCTCTACTGAAAGTCAGGATGAAATAATTTAAATCACTTTAGGATACTAGGAATCTTTGTCTTTAACCATTCTCAAAGTATGCGTGCCTGCAGGGTATTTCTGTCTCTAACTTGAACTCCTGAAAGACTGTTAAGAAAAGGAAATCCCAGCTAGATACAAAAGCTGCTATGGACATCAGTGTTGCTATCATTATATTATTAACTACATAATAATCATTTATCCACTAAGGAACACTGTTAGCCACTTGCCTGATCTTTATGCAATAAGGACTAGGCATTTGTAATTCCAGAGTGACTCTACCAGTTACATGTTTTACCTAATACTTCAGAAAAATGACTAACTTTCTATGGTTATCAAAGAGCTGGGGACCTTTGTCTCCTAGATCTACCTCTTTTGTGGGTCACAATGTCTGTCTCCTTAGCAGAGACACTAACTAGGTGATGTGGTCTGTTTGAATTTATATAATTATTGTCTTGACTTACTCTCTACTTACCAGAAAAATCCACCCTCTTCCCTTTGTGCTGAATTTTAACAAATCAGCTGCAAACAAAAATTACCCCTCAGGGTGCATGTCTATGACTTCTCCTAAAATCATAAGGCCCTTAGTCTGTTAGACATGCACCAAACTCAGGACAACCAGGAATATGGTTGAGGTACTTAGATTTAGGCCTCCCTCTCAGAGGTTCATACTAGGAACTATCAAGATCTCTAATACTATTATATTTGAGGCCTCCTAATGGGTCAATGTCAATTAAAGGAACTAGGAACCGGGGACACACACTAAAGGTATGGGTGACCTTAAAGACAATGAGGCCTCTTTTCCTTACTCATTGTTCTGTGCCTGAGACCTCTGCACTGACCCTGATTGCTCCTTCTCCTTATTCCTCGGTAGTGGAACAGCATACTGTACTTAAAGAAAAAAGCCAGGTAACAAAGGAATGCTTCTCATCCTTGAATTTCTTTTCTCAGATGTGACATTCTCCATCTGTTGCATCTCAGACTCACTTTTTTCTACCATCTTCTAGTTTTCTCCTATGTATATGGCTCCAGGATTACACCCCAATGAGTAGGGGCCATGGAACAAGTCAGGGCATAGGGGAAGGAAGATATTACAATATTGCCTACACATATGGACATGTTCTACACCCTAAGACTAGAAACATTTAGATTACTTACTTGTATGTCTAAATAGATCTGTGATTTCATCAATGTGGTTATTTCTTCCACTGGTACAGTTTATAACACATCCATGACTTCTTAACTCATGACACTTTGTCCATATTCAAAGCCTTCTTCTTAGAGAATCAACTCAACATTCTGGAGGCCTTTAAGTCAAGAGTTCTTAATTTAGGATCTGTGAACTTAAAAGGAAATTGATAATTGATACCCTTTATAATTCTATGAATTTTATTTTATGCATTTAAAAATATTATAAGATATCCATATGATAGCTTTAGCAGACTGCCAAAGGAATCCATAACACCAGGAAAAAAAAATTGAGAGCCCCTGCCCTAAAGGAGCTCACAATTAATGATGCTTAACTGTGAAAGAATATACCTTCTCTACTAATCAAAAGCAGCTGCACTAACTAGTATATCTTAACAACAAGCTCAACTGGAATCTGCATCTAAAAGCAACTTGCTGAAAGATCTGAATCATCTAACAAAAATTATCATTACATAAAATCTTATTTATTATGCTAATAGCTCAAAATTCAAGAGGTGCAACATGGGAGTTAAGATGATAAACATAAGAAAAACACATTAAATTTCAATATTCATGGGTAATTGGACTAATCTTCTGGTATTATTGGTATAGGGAACTCCAGGATGAAGAAACTTCCTCCCAAAGTACAGGTCACCACATTCCTTTCAACTAGAGCCTTAGAGAGTTGAACTGAGCACAAAGAAATTCAGTGGCTTACCCAGGGTCACACAGCCAGCATGTCAGAGGTGGGAAATGAACCCATATCTTCCTGACTGCAAAGCCTAACCTCTATGTACTATAAAATTGTGCCTCTAACTGTAAACTACTATTGAATATTGAGATGTTTACAAATTGTAAAATACTACTTACAGCACAAAGATAACCCTAGTTATTTACTTTGTCAGTCATTTTTCAGTCATGTCCAACTTTTTGTGGTTTCATTTGGGGTTTTCTTGGCTAAGATAGTAGAGTGTTTTGCTATCTCCTTCACTAGCTTATTTTATAGATAAGGAAATTGAGGCAAACAGGGTTAAGAGATTTGCCAAGGTCCCACAGCTAGTGAGTTTCTAAAGTCAGATTTGAACTGATGAAGATAAGTCTTCCTCACTACAGGTCCAGCACTCTATCCACTAGGCTACCTAGCTGCCCAAGTATTTACTTACTATGTAAAGTAAATTGCATTAGGTGCTAATATTGTGTTAGATATTATGGGAAAATCATAGGGGGCACAAAGGGCATTTGCCTGCATGGAGCTTATATTTTGGTTAGGGAAGGAAAACATATATACCTAATTCAAAGCTTGGCTGTGTTATTTACTTGTTGTATGACCTAAGAAAATCACTTTGGCTCTCTGGACCTCACCTTGAATGGCCTAAATGATGATTAAAGTCTCTTATCATTAGAAATATCTGGATACTCTGATAGGAAGATATCTCATTGTCAAAGTTTTTATGCACCCACCTGTGGCTCCAAATAACAGTCCATAATTTTTGCTGATATCTGACACTGACTAATCCTAAAGGCTTCATTTTGTCAATGATAATTGAGAAAACACATAAGCCATGTAGCATAAATCTAGCGTAAGCTATCA